TTCCATTAATCATAACAATGAGAATGTAAACTTTTGTAGGTTTTCCCCGTTTGCTGTACTTTGTTATTGGAGTCTCAAGAAACTACTACCTTAGATATCAAATATGAAATCTTTGATTATTTGAAAGAGAATGACTCTGATTAGAGCAGAAACTATTATTGCTCGTAGTGCTGAGAATAAGAGTCTGTCAGTGCTCAGCCGTAGACGGAGCATCTGCATAAGACATGGCTGTTGAACACATTAACTCAAAGCAGTACTGGTTATCTACACAAGATATGCACAAGATCAAATCAGGGAGAAATTCCAGCATGGAATTTTGAAAAGCTTCTGAGGCCTCACCCTTAGCACAAGAACTTTGGCTTCTAGGAGAAAAGGAGTCAAATTTCTTTAGGAGTGTGACCACTGGTAGGTTTCCTTTGATCCAATGACTGACCCTCTGCTAATGAGCACATGAACAGCACTAATTGTACTCTATTGTACTCTGATGGTTAAAAATATTAATAAATTAATAAATAAAGAATGGATTTTGGGAAGGAGATGAGATGGGGAGTCCGGGGGGCGGGGGGTGGGCATGGCAGTTGGAATCAGAATTGAGGGTAAATATGATTAAAATATATTCCATACATGTATGATGTTTTCAAAGATTATATTTTAAAAAGCACAGCAGCTCTATCATGGTTGCTTGTATTATAAACTTCTTCCTGAAAATATTTTCAAAAAAGAATGCTTTAAGACACTTGGATTTCAGAGAAGATTGGAGGGTTTTTTGGCACTTGTTTGGTTTGGTTAATCTATTTATACTTTTATTTTGGTGAAATTAACACAAAACCATTAACATTTCCAATTCTTATTTTGTAAAATTAACACAAAACGTTAAATGTCCTCAAAGTATAGTATATTCATCTCAGTATCTGATTATTCATTGGTCTAAACCTTTTCATATGTTTAAAATTTATTACAGCTCAAACTTTCCAGTATGGATTTAGACAATATAAATCAATTTTTTTTCTTTCAGGCCTCTGGGAATTTGTTCTTTCCAGTATGGATTTAGACAATATAAATCTTATTTTTTCTTTCAGTCCTCTGGAAATTTGTTCATATGAACTTGCAACAATGGTGACAGCATGCAAAAACTTATGCAGACTCCATCAGATAAAAATCCAACATACAAATTGGGAGATGTATAACAAGGCTCAACACTAGCCAATGAACTACTGGCAGCAGATTACTGCTGGGTGAGGGAGATGTGCTGGATAGTTATAGTGTCAACTTGACATAACTGGGTTGAGGGAGCCTCAATCGGGGAATTTCCTCCATTGGACCAGCTGTGGGCATGTCTATGCGAGAATTGTCTTGATTGTTGAGTGATGTGGGAGGGTCCAGCCCACTGTGGCCAGTGCCACCCCTGGACAGGTAGCCTGTATGGTATAAGAAAGCAGGTTGAACAGGGCCAGGGAGCAAGCCAGTATGCAGCATTCTTACATGGCCTGTGCTCTAGCTCCTGCCTCCAGAGTCTGGCCCTGAGTTCCTACCTTGGGCTCCCTGATGAACTGTAAACTGGAAGATCTAAGCCAAATAAACACTTTCCTCCCCAAGTTGGTATTGGTCAGAGTGTTTTGTCACCACAATGGAGAAATAAACCGGGACAGGAAAGTAGATATTTTTTTTTGTTTTTGTTTTTTGTTTTTAAAGTGAGTGGCTCTCCATAGGCTGAATAGACTCCAGTGGATTAACTTGCACTGAGTGATATCTGGGTACAAATGCTTGACCAGGTAGAACTTAACATAAATAACAGAATGCATGAAAATCATTCTGTTATGGGGAAATGCATATGTGGGAGGGACTTTAAATTTTACTAATCTCTATTATATGAATTTCACAAAAATTTGATAAAATATTCAAAAATAACAAATAATGTAGTTAAAAATGACAA